ATTTATTTTCTAGTTCTCGGCGGACACAACATCTTTGTTGGTATGTGGTGCTGAGGATCGAACCCGGGCCGCACGCATGCCAGGCGAGCGCGCTACCGCTTGAGCTACATCCCCAGCCCCAAACACGTCACTTTAAAATGCACTTGATAAATCATACTTTTCCTTACATAATTCAAACTAAGTTAAAAATGAAGGTTACTTGCCTGGGGATGTAACTCAGTGGTAGAGCACATGCCCAACATGCACATGGCCCTGGGTTCCAGCCCTAGCACTAGGGGAAGGGAAAAAATGAAGGTCACAGAGAAAAAGCAAAACCTTGTTTACATACATTTGCGTTTACACATATTACAAGATGATACTGAAGTTGAACTGTCATGAAATCTTTAATAACAAACTGATACAGAACACGAAAGAGGATTAGTCATAAGATTGGCAAATGTTGCACTGTACATTGATGGCTGCCATGGAAACAAAAAAAGAATATATCACTCAGGCTAAGAAACACTTATTTCAGGTAAAGGCAGAGACACAAAGGTAGAGTGACAAGAAGTGGCATGATGTTAATGGAACATAACCTTCAGCACTGCTAGGATGGAGAATAAAGCAGGTCACAAAGCATGGTGGGAAACATAGGAGACTTCTAAACCTATGCCAGGTCATGGAGGACCTCACATACCTGGCAGAGAAGCTCACATCTGATCCGGGTAGGCTGGAGACTTCTCAATCTAATCAGACATCAAAACCTTTTGGGGAACTTAAAAACGTAGGCTCCCATCCTGCAGTTCTACAAAATTAGAATGTGCAGGGATGGGGCCTGGCATATATAGACAGATTTAGAGGTACTCCCTACCCTTAGGATTCTGATCAGAGGTTTGGAAATATCTGCTATGACAATGGGAAACTTTTAAGTATGAATGACAAGGTCTGATGCCCATTTTTGCTATACCATTCTGCTGGCCTTGAAAAGGTGAATGCAAAGGGATCAAGACGTGAAGCAGGGAGACCACTGGTGAGGTGAGTCTACTACAATAATATAGGCAACAGGTAAGAGATGATGCAGACTTGAATCAGGACAGAGGTAGTATAAATCGGGAAGAGGACTGGACTTCATGCCTATCTTGGGACTAAAATGAGCAGGACTCGGTACGTTCCTGAAAACTTAACGTGACACAGGAGCCAAGGAGTATAACTGGGGTTTTTTATTTAGGAGAGTAAATGACTGGGTAAGAAATGTAAGAAAAAAAGGAAAGGGAGTTCTCTTCCTAAATGGTTAATTACTTTACTATCCCAAGGATAATATCCCCAAAAGCCCTCAGAATCAGTGCTTGTCCCTGCTCTTGTGCTACAAACACCCCTTGCTTGCTTCTCTCAGAGTACATGATTCCCTGCGTTATCACTATTTGCATCATCCCCTACCACCTTTCCCAACTGATACTGCAAAACCTATATTTTCATGACTTGATCTTTTAAGAGTGTGGTGATAGCAGATACTCAGAAAATTGATGAATCAATAGTTCTATGAATGACTGAAATGTAAAGTCAGCTCCTAAATATTTGAGTCTGAAAGCTAAATACTGGCACACAAATTGGGAGCCATCAGCTATGTTAACTAAGTCTTGTGATCATACAGTGAGAATCCAGAGTGTGGAGGAGTAGGGAGCTAAGGACAGAGTTCTGGGGAATGCCATAGTTTACAA